ACTGTCCATTATGAACACCCTCTTCGAGCAACGACGAGTGCTACAGCATACCTGGTACAGGGAAGTTTGTGTACAGAAGTCAATGATCGATCTAACAATCGTATTGTCTGACTTTCAACGCTCACTGTAATGGAAGTTCGCGTTAAGAGAGGTACAAAGTTGTGAATTGATCATCACACCGTGGTTTGACCTTCTGCTGCAAACCTATGGTTTATGGTGTACTACCATAAGAAGACCTAAGGACAGGACTAACGACAACTCGAAAATCGAATGGAAGCGTTTTCTTATGCGGATTTTCTTATACAGAAGCAAAACTTGGAAATATCATCGCACGACGGTTTGAACAGTTGCAATTTATGACCGCTGACGTGGAAACCGATCAGAAGCTCTCTAAGAGGTCTTACTTCAGGCTGCGGCCGAATGCTGTGGTTTAAAAGGAACTGGCTAGCCGCCTGGAGGTAGAAACGAGCTTTTTATCAGAGACGAGAGGTTCAGCATGCTGAGCAGTGAGAATACAGGCTGCGTTCAAGAGGGCTTAGAAGCAAAGAACCGTCAACTCTAGCACGGAACTAAGAAACGTCCAAGGCGGCAGCAAAAGAAGTGGCCAAAGCGAAAGTCGATTCCTGGGAAGGCTTAGCAAAGTGTTGAATTTTCGAATTTTCAGACAGCAAACAAGATATCCCGGAAGACCATTCCCCGCCTCCAAGATCGAACGAAGGATAGTCTAAGATTCCGGAAGTACAAATCTGGACGCCATCTTGCCAAGTGAGAGGAGACACGATAGCGACAGTACTTCCACGAAGTCCTGAACTCTGAGCAACCGCAGGAAAACTAGCCTGAAGATCAGCAGGCAACGCAAATTAGTCTTTCAGTAAATGAACTCCAGAAGCTGCAAAAACTTGAAAAGTAGCAAGGCTGCTGTAATCGATGAAATGCACCCTAAAATACTTAGGCACATGACACTTTGTGGCTGACACGTGTCTGTCAAACTGCAAGGGCTACGGGGAAGGCACCAGTGACTGAAGAATATGAGTTTATTAACGCTATTCAAGAAAGGAGATACCAGGTCGTTGCCTCATTAAACATCCCTGTCCAGAACGGAGGTACCGCGGAATAACTAGCTCTAAGATACAAGAAGAGCAGCGTGGCTTCAAGTATACTTCAGTATGTCGAAGCGCCTCTGAATAAATCTTTGCCTTACTTCAGATTGTTGAGAAATCATAGGGTTTCG